TATTTTCTTTCTGAATGTTCCTACCAGAATTCAAACAATATAGGATGTAATTGCTGTGCTTTCTGACTTTCCATCTCTGACTTCTTATTTCTGATCTATATCTGGTAGTTTGGTACTGAAGCTGATAAAATCTTTGGTCCATTCCTGGAATTATACCAGTTTTTCTGTTTTCTCTTTTGGGCAGTCTTAATTAATCTTATTTTCTTGGGCCCTTGGGTATAAGATTTGGTTTGAGTTTTGCTGTCTTAATAGAATTTGTATTTCAACAGACCACCCATAAGTAACTCTGTCAGTGATTGTCTGTTACCCAAGGGTGTTACTCTGTAATTCAGTAAAGCTGAATCCCAATCTTGGCTTCTATCTTAAACTGTGGATGAAGAGGAGAACTAATGGTGTAATTAATTCTGGATTCTGTTGAGACTCTCTTAAAATGATCAATCACAAGTCATCGTAGTTATCTGAAACAATCTCATCTGGGAACCTGTGTGTGGAAAAGATTTTCTTCAATGTTTTGATCACTGTCTCCACTGTTATAGTGAAGTCTGGTAAATTTCAGACACCTGGAATAATAACTTACAATAATTAATTATGCATTCCATTGAAAGTTTAAAAGATCCTTGACCTGTTTGGGAGACAGGAAAATAATGTTTCCATTTGTCTATGGCTGCTGATTGCACAAAATGACAGGACATACAAAATCTTCAACTACTTTTGAAATTTCTTGCCACCATACAGGCCTTTGTGCTGGAATTTTGACTCTTCCCAAGTAACCATCATTATTTTTCTTCCCTCATAGCCTCCCCTGTTACTAGGCTGTGATAAAGTCTAAATGATCATTTGCCATCGGTAAATATTTCCTCTGGTTATCATTCTTCTGTAAGAACTGATTGTTCACTCAGTATTCCGATCAACATTTTTGCAAAATTAGCTGATCTAGATACATTTTAAATCTGCCTTTAGTGCTTCACTGATTTCTTGCAGTTCCTTTACAAACTTGGTGAATAACATGCTATGACCAATATCCATGCTTCTATGTCCAAAATGAGCATTAAATCTTTTGTTTCTAGGTAGCCCTAGGCAGTGTGTCAGCTGTGATATGGGTTTTTTCCTGGTATATACACAGTTGGATAATCAGTTTAAGTGCAAGCCTCTGGAAATATCCTGAATATCATTTGGAATCCAATTGAGTAAATATTAATCTGTCTCAGTTTGAAATTTCAATCCTATCATATGGACTGAAAAGCACTCACAAGCTCCACATTACTGCTAATGCATAATAGTATTTTGTTCTAGTTAATACAATGGAAATAAAGTAGATTTGCTTCCTATTACTATCATCCCAGACCTGAAAGAGTACTGCTCTTTTGATTGGTGAGGATAAACTGCCACCTGGCAACCTGGGTTTATAATGCCCAGCATGCCTGAAGAAGTTAATTTCTCATTTAGCTCTGAAACACTATGCTTTGTTCAATACTTGAAAACCACTGTTGATCTTTCTTCCAATGATCCCTCAAAAGTTCTATGACCAAGTTTGGATAAAACTTCTCTGCCTGGTTGACGATATCCAGAAATTTTTTAATTTAGCATCTTGGAGCAATGTAATATGATATTCCTGTTTGGGAATTTTCAATAGAATTTTGTCCCATGGGTTTGAATGTTATGTTTTTTTTGGCTAAGTCAGAGTTGCATTGAGTTTTTTAGAGGGATTTCCAATGCGAAACCTAGTGACTTCTCCTGGAATGCTTTAACAAGATGATGGCATTAACTACTTATGCTGCCCCTACGTTGTCCCTCACATCTGTTTCTGGATCCATCTTACCATGTTATGTCAACTCACCATTGCTTCGTGAGACACTCATTCTGCCATTTGTCAACAGCATAAGAAATGGAGTGAGATTTGCTTGACATTGAGGTGGGCCTTGACACACATGTCATGAGATATTGCCATGCATCTTTGCATAACTCATGTCGCTGAAAGCCCTACAAACTTCCACTCATTCTCTTGCTGTAGGACATTGCCTACTCATGCTAGAAGACCAGTGTATATATGCATTTCTAGTCAAGATGACATTATTTCATTCTTTATTACACTGAGGGCCCTGTTGTTCTGTCAAATGTAGTAGCTGGGTATGGTAGTGATGTAGTCTGATTTCTGCTCCTTGGACCTTCTAGATTAATTTTTGATGGTTGGGCATCCATGAATTCGAGCCATTGTAAATAGTTTGCCAAAACTGTAACAGCTGCACCAGTGTCTAGCTCGAATTCTGTCTCGAAGACTCTTTCTTCTTATGTGACTGATTAGAATCTTTTTATTCTTTGGCTTCCCATAAAAAAATCTGTTTTTACTACTTTTTTTTCAATTCCAATATATTGAATTGTCCATTTTTGAGACTTGCTTATATTTTCCCTTTAGTTCCACTGTGAAGTATCCTGCCTTCGTGCATTGAAAACATTCTTTTCTCCTGCTTAGCCCATTTTCTGTCTGTAGTATTGCTCAGGTGCATGAAGTGAATACTTTAAAATGGCTGTTGTGTTGTTTTCCTGCTTTTGCCCCATTTTCATAGGCTTTTGAATGGTTGGAGCTGACTTGGTTTGGCTTCCTCATTTAACTGATTCATATGAAGCTGCAGTATTCCTCAGGATTATGGCTTGATTTTGTCCTCTGACTTTGGTTTACATAACACACTGAACTGCTTGTTCAAGAGTCTTCTTTTGAATGTAAAAAAAATCTAACAGTGATGTTATAGTGAAAGGCCCAGGTTGCTGCTTTTGCTATTATTGGGATACACATACTGCATACTCAATGTGTAATTATCTTAAAGTGATAAAGGTTTATCGGGTTGACAAAATTTGAATAAGTTTGACCCCCGAACTAGGAACTTATTTTTATTGTTATAAACAATTAACTTGGGTATAGGGAGTCCAATTTAAAATTTGTGGATGACACAAACTTTGACAAAGTAATAAATAGGATGGTTGCAGAATAGATTTCACAGGGGAAAATATGCTCATTTGAAGACTAAATGCCCAGCGCAATTTAAGGTAAATAAACATGAGGTGATTCACTGAAAACAAGGCAGGAAATATAAGGTAAAATTAACTATTTTGAGGGGGTCTATGAATAAAGGGATTGGGGATTAGTGTTCATAAATCCTTGAAAGTATCATGGCAAATTAGTAAGCAGTTCAACAATTCTAAGGGATATTTCTTTTTATAAATAGGAACATTGAATACAGAAAGCATACAGCGAGGCTAAACTCTTAGATGAATTAAGCCTTAGACAGGGATATTGTATATAATTCAAGACTGCCACTTGGGGAAGGGTGTCAAGGTCCGGAGAAAAGTAGTGATTGTTTACCAGGGTTATACCAGGGATACAAAATTCAGTTAATTAGAAAGATTGGAGAAGTTGGAATTGTTCTCCTCAAAGCAAAGAACATTTAAAACTACCTAACAGAGCAATTCAAAATAATAAGGGATTTAAAATGTGCAAGAATTGAGAATTTATTTTCTCTAATGAGTAAGTTGTTAACCAGGGGTCAAAGATTTCTAATAATTAACAAAAGAACCCAGGGGAAAGTGAGGAGAGATTTCTTCACCCAGTTGTTAAGGTTTGGAACGAGTAGCTAATTCTGTGGTAATAGTCAAAGGGTGTTTGAACTCAGACTTGAAGAACAATCTGTATGTTTGTGATGAAAACCTGGGAAGTTGGACTAATTGGGTAGCTCTTTTAAAGAGTCAAATAACACAATGGGCCCAATAAACTCTAATCAGAATCATAGAATCATACTGCATGGAACACAACTATCCAGCTGTTGGAAATTTACCAGTTTCTTGAAAAGCTATTTAATGCCACTCCTAATCATTTTTTTTGCCATAACGTTGCAATTTTTTTCATCAAGTTATATTAAATTCCCGTGACAAATTACTAATAAGACTTTTTGCACTTTTCAAGTAGCATATACCACAGTCCAACAAACTGGTGCATAAAAATAACTTTTCCTCTGGTTATTTTGACAATTATTTTAATTACTTGGGTCCTTTGCCAGTTTCACCCTACTTACTGACAAATGTCTCAAAAAATCAAAATTGAGAATCGGTAGAATGCTTTTTGACCTCTAATTATTTGTTTGAATTCCACTTTCTGTGATTTCCGATTGAACAAATGCTATTACGTAAAGCTAAATAAAATATTTTTTTATTATTTAAAGGAACCAAGGCTTTAGAATTATCTCTAAAACAAAAAAAATAAAATTGAACTAGAGGATTGTGCAGCCAATGAAGTACTTCTGAGATTTTGACAATGAACCTTGTCAACGGCGCCACGCAAGCTGTCAAACACAATGAGGAGGACGACTTTTGAAATGCAGTCACTGTTGTAATGTACGAAAACGTTGATCCAATGAAATTGAACTTTAGGGAATAACTGGCAGGTGCGATGTTTTTTCTCCTAAAAGCTGCCAGTGCAAATATTTGATGTATGTATGAGAGTAGTACAGCTTGGGAACACCGCTTTAATTGACCAGGATGTGAAGACTGCATTTTTGATCAACGTGCAATTTTTCCCATCAATTTTTCATCTTTTCTCGTGTTGCTTTGTGTGTGTGTGTCTCTGTGTGTGTGTGTGGGGTGGTGGTGTTGGGGGGGCGGTGGGTGGTGGTGGCTCTCTTGGGACAAATAAATCTTTCAGCACCTTCGAACAAATTACACAGGCGAGCACTCACACCCAATTACAGCTGCAGGTAAATGCCTCTAGGAGGTAAAGGAATGCACCATTTTACACCTACTCCAGTTCACTTAGTAATTATTCGCGGTAAAGGCTGTAACTTGCGTTGGTCTTGAAAATCGAAAAAAAAACTGATTACCTTCTGAAATGAGCCGTTGAGTTAACTTTAAACATGAACGTTTATTACACTCGTGCGTTCTCAGCACAGTACGTACAAAATAACCAGAAATGCAAATCACTTGCAGTTTCCTCCGAACTAGATGTAAAACTTGTCTGCAGTTTCTTAAATTTTATTTGAAAATACTCCAAATTTTATTCGAACCATGATTACAAAGTGTCAACGCTGCTATATTTACAGACAGTAAGTACACTGTAGATTGCGATTATGAATACAATTTGGCAGTAATACAGATAATAAGCAAAGCGCAGCTGGAACCACGACTATAACTTCACCGCTTTCTATGAGCCAACCCATTGTTTAGTATTGCTTCTAACAGAGTACTGATTTCACCCACCCCCAACAACTTCCCCCAAGAGACAAAAGCAGAATATAGTGTTTTCTTAAATCATTTTCTTCGTTTAATTCACGACAGTCCCCTTAAGACGCGCTCTCGGTGTTCAAATGAAAGGGAATTGTTCCAGCACAAGTGGTTTGAAGTCGCAAGAGGTCCTTTAAATATTACAATAAACCGGGCAATGAAATCCAAAAAATATCAAATTACGTCAATATTCAATAAAGAAAGTCGTTTGTTTTTAATCATGTATTTGTACCCACACATTCAGAGACGAGAAGAGTCTGCAGATTGGAGCACGAAGCTGTGTGACAAGAGTTCGCAAACCATTCTGTCAATGTGAGCCTGCTGCTGTGACTGACCATTGTGTATGTGTGTGTGAGAGAAACAGAGAGAAGGGCTCATTGTGCTGGAGACGGAGATCCTTTAATCAGACTTTCGTAGTTTACTTAGGAAAAGGAGAGAAATTTACTCCACATAAACCCTGCAAGAGAGAATAAGTTCGTTAAATAAAAGAAAAAAAAACATTCATTTAGCTAAGGCTGTATCCGTTTCTAATAGAGTGTACTGTAAATCAACAAAAACACCAAATCATATAAACAATTAAGAAGGGCCTTTTCCTTAAGTATTTAGGTAATCGAGTATGTGCAGTCGTGGGCTGAAAAATTCATAGGATCAGTTCCAATCTCCTTGCCGAATATCTCAATACACCATTTTTTAAAAAAAAATGGATTCAGTCCAAACAGGCGCAGGTTAGATGGATTAGCCATGGGAAATGCAGGGTTACAGGGATAAGGTAGGGGGTTGGGTATGGTTGGGACGCTTTTCGGAGTGTCGGTGTGAACTCGATGGGCCGATAGGCCTGCTTCCACACTGTAGCGATTCTATGATTCTGCAACCTTTTCAGAGAGATGTTATTACACACCTCTGGTGCAGGTGAGTCTTGAACCTGGACCCCCTGGTCCAGGGGTAGGTTCACTACCAGTGCGTCACATGAGGGTCTCCCCCCGCCATAATACACCTTAAAGGGTGCGTCTCACTCTCTAAAGGTGTACAAGGCAAATCCATTGTGTTCTAAGACTCCGCTAGTCATGATTTACAATAATTTAAAAAAAAATCCACTGTTATTCTGCAATTATACTGAGTTTTGTTTAGGGGGGTTGAATCGCCGTAAATGTGCGGTACCCAGCCCCAGGAGAAGCACCATTAGAAGTCTCCACGCGTGGAAAAGAAGTTGCTGCCATTTGGTCTTTGCTGTCCCCGATGGAACAGCGGCGTTCTGCCACGTTCCAGCATCAAGTCCCTTTACAACTGGTTGACAGTCAGCTATATGGATGTCTTCTGCTGCACTCTACCCATTATCTTCATCAACACTGGTCTGAGGCTGCCAGCTGCAGCGTACTACCAGCAGGTTCTGAGGAGGGGTCACTGGACCTGAAACGGTAACTCTGTTTTCTCTCCACAAATGCTGCCAGACCTACTTAGCTTTTCCAGCAACCTCCGTTGTTGAAAGCCAACAGGTGGTTTGGCTGTTCAGTAGTGGTGAATGGAAAGGGAGAAAGAATGCAGAGTCACCACTGGGGTCTGGATATGTGCACACATCTAACATCATTTTACGGGAAGAAAATGTGCCAAACATCATCTCATACTCCGGTCACCAGATTAGCTTGTAGCAAAACACATTGGCCCCCAAATCCACTTGCTTTTTTTTCACAGACTGAAAGACTGCACAACCTAAAGGGTGATGCTCAGATTACCCTCCGTCTACAGAGGAGCCAAATTTCGTAGTTATACTTAAACTCAAAGCCAACAGCATTGAACAACTCTATGTCAATTTCAAAAGGCGAGCTGCTGTTTCTCGGAGTTTCCCATGGAATTTATAACGAACCGAATCCTGATTAAGAATGTTACTCTGAGCCCACATTTAGTGTAAGTACTTAGCAAATGCGCTATGAATTCGCCACAAAACCAGTCGGAGGCAACTACTGCCTAAAGTTAGCCAGTTTCCTGTTAACCGTTTAAACTTTCGCAGAAATCCTGGGGGGAGTGGATAAAGGTGAGGAAAAGGGTGAAATTTGTCGCTCTGAGAATCTCGCCGGGAAACATACCGCAAAATCCAGAATACAAAAAGATCAAATGAAAATCAAGAGACCGTATACGAATCCCCCAGTGCCATCATTATGTAAACAGCAGAAACATCAAACCTTTGAGAACTTTCAGACGCCACTCTGTAACGGTGAGCAGCAATCCCGTTTGGAACGGAAACTTCTGTTTCCATCTAAAGTTGCAGAAAGTTTTTTTTTCTAAGAACTGACAGCGAAGTACTCAGAGAGAATAACTCACCGAAGATCTTCCCTCCAGGTTTTGTACCGTTTGAGCAGATGCCTGGTGGTCGGAAGTTTGGGGTGTAAACAGTACTGGCGACCCTTGAATCGAGCTCCTTTTGCCATGGTGACACTGCGAAGAAAGAAAGCGTTAGGAGAGGCAATGACACGGCACACCATATGGCAGAAATGAGTCAAACACTCTTTCTGCCATATGTACTTTCTGAAACAGTTAACACCAGCGCTAACAGCAGGAGATTTCCGGACTCACAAGATCATTTTTTCTTTGCAGTAGGGGTAACGTGGTTTAGATTCCACTTTCCTCACGTCCTTATAGCTGATCTTCGGACTTTTCCGGCTGCACTTACATTTGTAAGCTGCGAGAAAAGCAAAAAGAAATCTCATTGAAAACCCAGGAGAAAACGCCAACGACAAGGCAGGCAGTGACCTATCAGTATTTACCAAGGGCTTAACATCTGTACTTAAAAACGTTTCCAAAAAAAAAAGTACCGTTTAAAATACATCTGGGAATGAATCTCTGCATCTGAACCGATGGGTTTCCTGCAGGCAAGTGTCAACATGAATGAGTTTAAAGGAAATCATTTACCAACCACGCTCAAATTATTCTCTTCGTGGTCTGTAACTTTGAGCAGGGAGAACGTAATTCCTGAGAGGAACTGTAAGCAGCTCGGTAAACAGGAAGAGACAAGCCGGCTTTCGCCACTTTACCTTCGACATCAACGCAGCATATAACGACGAGCAGCAGGAGGAGAGTAGCTGCGACCAACCCCCTCATGGTGGTGGGCTGGCAGTGATCTGTAGAGTCTCTACGGTCAACAGGTTCCCCCCCACCCACACACACACGCACGCAATGGGTCTGGGCTCCGAGCTCACAGACCGAGACTCCACTACACACACTGTCTGAGCGCAGCCGCTCGATCCGCTCCGGTTTATAATAAAGCCTAATTATTATGCATAACAATTCCGCGAATCATAGATATGACCAAATGGTGAGGACGGTGGAGTGGGGATGGGGCCGAGCAGGCGGCAGTGTGGGAGGAGTGTGTCTGTGGACGGACGGGGAAGCAGGTGCAGGGAGCCCAGCCCAACTCAGGGCAGCAGGTATCCACCGCCGGTCTTAAAAATCCTCAGATTCCTCTCCCTGCACCCCTCACCCTCTCCCCAACAGCCCCGCTGCAAGCACATGGGAGGGCACGTTTTCCAAATTGGCTTGCACCACTAAAAAAAAATAAGCAAAAGGAATGGTGAAAATATCAGGAGGGCGAGACTAACTGGAGGGTTCTTAACCAACAAGAAACACAATGCGAGCATTGACCTCCTACTCCTGGGCAGGTTGTCAGTATTCTGTGTAAAGAAGTAACTTTCTAAGGGAATGAGACATGCATGATATATATTTGAAAAGGATACAGTTGCAGGGCTATGGGGAAATGCTAGCTGTGTCAAGGAGCTGGGAAAAGAATCACAGGATATCAGGACTAGGCAGGAAAGCGAAGTTGAGGTCAGAATCAGGTCAGTCGTGACCTTATCGAATGGTGTAGCATGCTTGAGGGGGTGAATGACCTGCTCATCCTAATTGGTATGTTTTTACGTTCATAAATGGTGGGTCAAATCATTCTCTGCTTTATTTGTTGTGTGATATTATGATTTTTAAAATTCATTCGTGATGTGTGCATCACTCAATAAATGAACAGCATTTATTGCCCATCCCTAATTGCCCAGAGGGCAGTTAAGGGGCGACCACATGTAGGTCAGACTGCGTAAGAACAGCAGATGATCTTCTGGAAAGGACATTATAGTCAGTGGTCACATGGTCACCAGAGGTATAAAATAGTGGGCAGTTATAACTTCTTGTGCTTGGTTTTGATGTTAATGCCTCAAAAGGGGGCAGCAGCCTTATGGCCCCAATAACCTGAATGGAATCTGTTGTTGGATGCCCAAAGTAACTGCTTACTACAGTTATCTGGGACTAAAATCACCAATCAAGGACTCTGATTGCTTTTTTAGCCTGGAAATAGTTGGACTATTGTGATGACTGTGTATTATGTTTTATGCTTTGGGATTTGCATTTCAAAATAAAAGATGCGGGTCAGTTCCATGAAGGTTTCATTTAGAAAACCAGTCAGAAAGCTAGTGACCTCAGTTAATTAATTCCAATAAAGCACATGACTGCAGTCAAGGAGACTCGGGGACCGCTTTGCAGAACACCTACGCTCGGTTCGCAACAAACAACTGCACCTCCCAGTCGCGAACCATTTCAACTCCCCCTCCCATTCCTCAGACGACATGTCCATCCTGGGCCTCCTGCAGTGCCACAACGATGCCACCCGAAAGTTGCAGGAACAGCAACTCATATTCCGCTTGGGAACCCTGCAGCCCAATGGTATCAATGTGGATTTCACAAGTTTCAAAATCTCCCCTCCCCCTACCGCATCCCAAAACCAGTCCAGCTCATCCCTGCCTCCCTAACCTGTTCTTCCTCCCACCTATCCCCTCCTCCCACCTCAAGCCGCACCTCCATCTCCTACCGACCAACCTCATCCCGCCCCCTTGACCTGTCCGTCCTCCCTGGACTGACCTATCCCCTTCCTAACTCCCTACTTACACTCACCTTTACTGGCTCCATCCCCGCCTCTTTGACCTGTTTGTTTCCTCTCCACCTATCCTCTCCTCTATCCCTCTTCTATCCGCCTCCCACTCTCTCCCTATTTATTTCAAAACCCCCTTCCCCTCCCCCTTTTCTGATGAAGGGTCTAGGCCCGAAACGTCAGCCTCTCTGCTCCTATGATGCTGCTTGGCCTGCTGTGTTCATCCAGCCCTGCACCTTGTTGTCTCGGATTCTCCAGCATCTGCAGTTCCTACTATCTCTGACTGCAGTCAAGTGCCTGGGAGGATCCCTGCCATGTTAATAGATGATATTACTAAGTTTACTACAGACCAAAAAGCCAATGGTTTTGTTTTTACTCCAGAACAGAACGTTCAAGGTCTGAGTTCAGAAAACACAAGAGCTTAGTTCAGAAAGTAGAACAGTTTATCCTTTTATTCAGGGAATCAGCAAAGGGTTGCTAGTTTGTGGAGCTTCCAAGCTGGGAGAGTTTGTAAAGAAGTTTTCAAGTTGTTAGAACTGTGAAAATTAAGGCCTTCAGAAATATGAAAGGTTTGTGCCAATGGATTTGGAAAGAAATAGTGAGATTGTCTGTGCTATCCAAGAAAGGAACCTGGGAGGAGTCAGTTAAAACTTAATGTGTTGAAAAAAGAGCGAACTTTCTCTGCAATTGAGTATCTGTAAAAGGATAATTTTAGGAAACAGGTTGAAACTTTGTTTTGTTATTTGTGTTAAGATATTTCTGTCATAGAGGTTTGTTTGATTCTTTTCTTTTTGTGTAGTAAACTTATCACCTGTTGTTAAAGGATATACACAACCGTGTGTGCATGTGTTTCAATGACTAATCTTCATGGTCACCAACTACAGAAATGGCATATATAATCTGTCAAGTCAGCTTTCGTTCTAGGATCTGACCAGTCCAGCATTACTACCTGCTGAGATAATAATGCTAAATACAGCACATGCTCAGAATAATTCTTTGGGCAATTAAAGCCAAAGAGGCCAAGTGGTGTGAGGTTGAATCTATTTTTGTGAGAGCGAGAGAGTTCTGCTCCTAGTTCACTGAATATATGGCAACATCTCTGCTTCAGGAGGAGCCATGAACCTGGCTATTGTGAATTCAGTTTAAACATGCAAATATCATTGAAAACTAAATAAGAATATGAAATAGTAGCAGCTGAAATTTACATTTTTACACAAGCAAAAAGACCATACCGAGGCAGTATGGGCCCAGATCTCTGATTGGAATATTGTCATTGTAGCAATGTTGACAGGAACTTGGTTTTGGAACTATGCAAAGGTCCTGACACAGCTGACTCTGTGGAAATTAGCTAGGAGCTAAAACTTTGGATGAACAATTACCATGTTCCTGGAACTGTCTGAAAATATTTCCAACTCTGACTTATTTACATGCATAGTTAACCAGGGAAAATTGTTCTAACTTCTGATTACCTATTAAATTGACTTTCCACACCATCTCACCACTGATCACCCTCCAATCCTCATTGACACTCAGTTCCAACCCTACTGCAGATCAGACCTCCCTTCCCCAGCATGACCTCCCAGCAGAGTCCCCATGGATACCTGACACCATTGAGGACCCCCAGAAACCCCAGCAGGCACCCTTTCAACCTGACAATCTCCCTAGACTCCGTTCAAGCTTGCATGTATCCAACACCCCGACCTGGATTAATCTACCCAAATAATTATTACAGTGGGAGATCACTCACAATATCCCATTTCAAAATGTCCTGATTTAACATGGTATGTTCATCGACATTGGTAGGAAAAATAGAAAAAACAAAATGCTTTTCAGTAGTCTGAACATACTAGATGTTGGTGTTTGGAGGGATTTGAGTATGCTTGCACACAATATTTGAAAACTTTATGTGATACTGTAACAAGCAATTAAGATGTCAAATGGTACACTTGCCTTTGTTGCAAGAGGTTGGAATATACGTAAAGGCATTTTGTTGCAAATTTCTAAGGCTTTGGTGATGCCGTACCTGGAGTACTATGTGGTGTGAGCAGGTATTTGCATTAGACCTGGGTTAATGCAGGTTCACCAGGTTTAACCTTGAGATGAAAGAGGTGGCCTATAAAGCCTTATTGGGCCTAGACTCTAGAGAAATAAGAAGTGATCTCATTGAAACATACAAGATATTTCAGGACAGATGCTGAGAGGCTCTTTTTGTAGACTGGAGAGTCTAGAACTGAGGGAATAGTTTCATGCTAAGGATTTCATCTACTTACAATTGAGTTGTGAAATTTCTTCATATAAAGGGTTACAAATCTTTGAAATTGTCTACTGTACAAGATTCCGATGTGGAGGTGCTGGTGTTAGACTGGGGTGGAAAAGGTCAGAAATCACACAACACCAGGTTACAGTCCAACAGGTTTATTTGAAAACACAAGCTTTCAGAGTCTTACTCCTTCTTCAGGTGTAAGACTCCAAAAGCTTGTGTTTTCAAATGAACTTGTTGGACTATAACTGGAAGATAATGGTGGCTTAGCCATTGCAAATATTCAATGCTGGGATCAATAGATTCTTGGGACTAAATTTTCTGGTGGGCAGTGGGAACCTGATGATAGGCCCATATGAACCAGTCATGTAAGCAGTTTACTCACTGGCACAATCCTTCAGGCTGTGTCCTCCTGATTGTCCACCTCTGCACTCGTCCTATTAATGATGACAGGCAGAGTTGTAAGACTTGAGGCCGAATAAAAGGGCCTGTAATGATTTCAGGTCTTCAGGCCTACCAGGAAAATTGGCCACTGCTAAGAAAAATGAGCATGAAGGCAATTCAGCATGGAGGCATCCTCAGCTGCCTACATAGTTTCATGAATTAAGAGGCCCATAGCTGATAGGGATATTGGCATGGATGGGAAAACCCTTCACTGGACGAGTTGTTACTAGGGTTGCTTCATTGCATCCCTGCATTGATTTTGGGACAGATCATTCTGATATCAGTCACAGCATGTTGCTAGAGAACTTGCCTGGAGGAAGTTATGTGCTGGGGATCTAAATTGATGTGTCTAGCCTCTATCATCCTGTTGTCCCCAGTGCCTTCAACAGGCATCTTCATGGAGCTGACAAAATCCAGATCTTGGAATGAAGAGAATCAGGAGATATCAGACTTGAGTGGGAAAGTGGAATTGAAGTTAAAGATTGGTGGAGCAGATTCGAGGGGTTGTATTGTTTATTCTTCCTCCTATTTCCGATGTCCTTATAGTGCTATACATACAGGTCACATGCACATCAATATCTGTAACTTTAGGTGGTACTCTAATAAGGGTTCTGAATATCAAGCTTAACAAATGTGAGCAATACCATAATTTTGTTTTGTTAGGAACAAACCTAGTAAGTGAACTTCTTGGAACTTCACTGCTATAACTTTAGCAAAACTTAATTTAAATACATAAATGAGGTTTCTGCAATGTATCTAGCAGTTACAATTGCAATCTGGATGAAGCCATG